CCATACAGGAGGCGTCTTGAAGCTGTCATTGACAACAAAGGCTTTTGTACAAAGTATTAGATAAATTTCATCAGAACTCATCCCCCTACATGTATGTGGAGGGAGGCTACCCTCTCATTCACCGGGGTGAAGCCCAACATACAGGCATCAAGTTGAGGGGCAATAGGTATGCCCACTCCAGATCTGCGCCTCTCAGCATGGGCAACTCCAGAGTGGAAGAGTCTCCAACCCCTCTTAAGGAGACTGGTTCCAGAGCCAGAGTGTCGCGTCGAGGTCACTTGATGTTATCCTGTGGTCGCTGACTGACATTCGAATAAGAAGACAGTCATCCCGGTCAACGGAGAGTCGATTTTGCCCTCTGCTGGTCTGTAGGTTTGTTGTCCCCAATGTCAACAGCTTCTCCCGGCCCCGGGGCCTATCTTAAAAGTTCTTAAAAAGCAAGCATAGACTTGAATATAGATCACTAGACTGAGCCCCGCCCATTCCGTCCACTGGTACCGTCTGTGACAGCATGGAGGAGCAGAAATGGCGTCCAAAAAGGGCAACAGCCTCCATAGAAACTAATAGATAAACAGCAGCTGAACCGGATCTGTTTCACAGATTGTCGGTCATGTTTTTACAATAAATTAATAATTATGTTAATTTCATTCAACAATCATGTAAAACAGCAGATATATATCAGAAAAAATCTATCATTTATAAGTAACAAAACCAGACCTGAAGTCAGCCTGTAACTTGGACTTTAGCTAGTTGAAAAATGATGACTTCAGCTAAAACATTAGATTATATAAACTGTAAAATATTAATAATAATTGGGATAATATTATTATTAATAGTTCTTATGATTTCTACATTGTCAGTCGTCCTTTATTTCTGCTCTGTGGCCAACATGTCCAGTAATGGGAAATCCAGGCTCTTGTTAGCTTCACCAGCTGATCACACGGTCACGTGGTTTCTGCACACTCCAGCTGTTCTATGAAAGCAGGTGAAATCAACAATACCTAGCTGCAGCTTGCAGCAGAGCCCTGTGGCTTGCACATGAATAAATAAATGAATAAAGCGCAATTCATTGACAGTCTTATTTCTTATTAAAACAACGTTTATTTTTAAAACATGTAGAAGTCCTACCTGAGTCGCCATCTCCATCTTTTCTCTGCTCTCCCAGTCGGGATCAAATAATCAACCTGAATCAAGGTGCTTGTAGTTCTGGGTGCGTGTACTCACTGAGGGGCGTCGATCGGGGCGTGTCGATCGTGTACTGCAAGCTGCAGCTGGACCCTTCTCAAAACTCTGACTAACTTCCTCTGACAGCAGGTTACGTCAAATTTCATCAGCTGCATTCTCCACATGCTGCATGTCCTGTAGATCACGTTTAAACTGAGCATTTAAAGCTGTGTCACAGTCAATCACCAGAGGCAAGGGCGTAATCACCATCCTGAAAGTGGGGGGGACACATTTTTTAAAAGGTCTTGTTTTTCCTGCTTCGGTTGAAATAAGTGAGGGGGACAGAGAGCACAGATGTGGGAAGTGGGGGCAACATGTCCCACCCTGTACCCATGGGGGTTACGCAGGTTATCCAGGTGTCGTTTGGCTCCTCTTGTGTCCTGGCAACACTTCCCCACCTCTGGACCACATGAAAGGACCTTTAAAGTTGCGCGAGTCGAAAATCTTCAAAGTGAACCCTGAGAGGTGAGACTGGATTATAAATTATTTCTGGAGACACAGAGTGAGATTCTGGGAGCTGGTGGGCTTGGAGCCATGGAGGGGGACACGCAGAGATCCGTTTTTTCTTCATGGAGTGAATGTTTCATTATGAGGCGGATCCGTATGTTGGTTCCTGTGGGTTTTAAAGAAGAAATAAAAGAGCTGTCAAAACTGGCTGGACCTGTGGTAAGAGTTATTTTTTAAGAATATTCTGTCAGGATTACTCAATTCATATGTATCTTCTTGCTGGTAATAAGCATGTTATAGCCAAAGGAGTGGAGCTAAAATCTTTGTTATTAATAACTGCAAACAAATGTGTTTTAGCTTTTATTAATTTTTAACTTTTAGTTTATGGCCCAGCTCATGTGTGCTGCTGTGAGTTTCATCAGCACTGTTTTCTGTGGTCATCTGGGGAAGACAGAGCTGGCAGGAGTGGCTTTGTCCATAGCAGTAAGTCCAGTAATGTTCTGACAGTTTAGTGTGTCCAGTTCCACCAGTTTAACGTTTTCTGTTTTATCCACAGGTCATTAATGTTACAGGAATTTCTATCGGCACTGGTTTGGCATCAGCATGTGATACGTTGATTTCTCAGGTAGTTTTTAAACTTTAACATGTTTTCAAGAGTCAGAATAAGACTTGACTTTATRTGATTTGTTYAGACCTTTGGAAGCGGTAACCTCATGAGAGTTGGAGTCATTCTCCAGCGGGCAATCCTCATTCTGCTGCTGGCTTGTTTCCCCTGCTGGGCCATCCTGATCAACACCGAGTCCATCCTACTGGCTGTCAAACAGGAGCCGGAGGTAGCCAGGTCAGCTGGACTATAGTCTGCTTTATTTGGGGTGGGGAGTGGGTGGGGGGGGCACTTTGTTGTTGATTCAGTACCAGTACCATTCTAATCAAAAACCTCTCTGTAGGTTGGCTCAGTTGTACGTGAAGATCTTCATGCCAGCACTTCCTGTGAGTGTCTCATTTAAACTATTCATGAGTCCATGTAATATTAAATAATGGACTTAAACATGTAGAGAAGAGAGACTAAAGACAACAGCAGAGTGAGGAAACGTGCTCAGTTTGTGCTCCAGCAGGCTAAGTATAGCAGCAGAAATGAAGAACAAATCAGGAAACCAAAGTCTAACTATATGATTTATTAAAAAGGAAAGTCTTTAGTCCAATCTTAAAAGTAGACAGAGTGTCAGCCTCACGGACAGAAACTGGAAGTTGGTTCCACAAGAGAGGAGCTTGATAACTGAAAGCTCTGCCTCCCATTCTACTTTTAGAAACTCGAGGAACCACAAGTAAACCTGCAGTCTGAGAGCGAAGTGCTCTGTTAGGAAAATATGGAACAATAAGATGTTTAAATATATGATGGAGCTTGGTTGTTAAGTTAAGAAACAGTTATTCTGTAGTGTAAAGCCTGAACTGCTGAGTCATGGTTGTGCCAGGTTCTGATGAACTGATGGTCCATACGCTGCATGTTCTCTCTCTTTACTTACACATACAAATGTCCTTTTCTTATTTACAGGCCACCTTTATGTTTTCATTAGAATCACGGTACCTGCAAAACCAGGTATGTCATCTGCAGTCACATCAAAATATAACTCAATATCCATAAAATGTGTGATGTTAATTAGCTGCTGTGTTTGTTTGTTTGTTTGTTTGTTTGTACAGAAACAATGTACAACATTTCATTAACTTTTCACAAGGAGAGATGCATGATACCAGGTTATAACAAAGAATGCTACTTTCCACCTGCAGTCCCTGGACAGGTTGACGTAATCTTTTTTTCGTCACAAAGATGGCTTCCTTTACTCCTCTCTCAAACCTCAGGAAGCCATTTTTGTAAAGAAAAACTGTCCACCATTAAACAGAGGTGGAGGCCTTCATGTCCAGTTGTCCTCCTACTATGCTGTTATTGCAAGTCTGACTCAGCACCTTGTGAGCAAAAGGTGTGAATCAGGGCCCCAACGATGGTCAGGTGATGGGGCACATGACCCTCTATGAACAATAGAGCCAATCAAGCCTATTGTTAGGCGATGGCCCTCTTTTGCATGTGACTAACCTGTTTGTCCATGTGGAGGCAAGGCCTAAAAGGCTGAGTTCACCTGAAACTCATCAGACTAAAGAAGTCTCTTGGAGGAGAGACGAAACGTTTCACTAAAGAACCCGTCCAGAGGACCTACTTATTTTATAATTTTTGACAATTTTTTGGTGGTTTCTGGTCCCTCTATCTTGTTTTATTTAACTTTCTTGCAATTAATGTAAAATTATGATCAGATAAACCAGTTAATAAATTATATGTTTTAACTATTCTTTCCAGTTTATTTTTAAAAATGAAATCTATAAGGGTTTGAGAAGTATTAGTTATTCTCGTTGGTTTGGTAAACAGTTGTTACTAAAATGTGTCCATTTTAGTTCATCAGTTCTAGAAGAAAATCTACCAAACATCCACATACTGTGACTTCACTTTAAAACAAATTTTACATAAAGTTCAATGATTTGTTCCTCAAGTTGAGAGGCATTTTTGAAACTTTATTTTGTGTTGTTTTGTTTTATTTTAGGGCATCATTTGGCCGCAGGTTATCACAGGCTTTGTAGTCAATCTTCTTAATGCCCTCATCAACTACATTGTTCTGTTCGTGATAAAAATGGGAGTAGCGTGAGTATGTCTTTTTTATTTTTCTTTTTAGGT